TGCACCCCTATTTAAATCCCCTCTTTCCTACGCATACCTTCTTTCTCGTTCATTTGTCTCCCTGGCCCTCCATGGACCAGCTATTCCAAACACTCTGACGTGTTCCTAACTTTCGCTCCTTGTTCGCACTCGATACAGACATAAATATCCCGTTCGGCCTGAAACCTAGGCTACTGTTTATTGCCCATCATCAGCTAGATAGGCCCGAGTGTTCCCTTGCATTCGCTCTCAAACCTTAACATTCCTACATATATACAGGTAACTTTTCCATCGGTCATATCTTTATTCTTCGAGTCGTTGATAAACGCTCACAACGTGTGCGATGTGAAGTTTAAAATAATGTAAAGACTCGTGGAATATCGAAATGAAATATGCGAATTCTTTTCACATGATTGTAAAAAATATCTTCGACTTTATGAAAGAAAAGATTCGAGTTGAAACTTCCTTATAGGAAAAGAACTTCCGAGTGCGAAGGGTTGAAATTCGTGATAATTAGAGTCGGTGAGAAAGTTGAAGAAGTTTTTAAGGTAACTCCTGGAACTTTGGCTTCTTCCTTTTCGCATTTTAGATTTCGATGCGCATTGTACCTATGTCCTACGAGTTCGAATTGGCTTTCCACGCGACATTTGTAATTTTCGGCATTTCAATAAGGTAGAGTCACACAGTCTCTACTTCGCTGGAGAGTACTTCGGATACTCAGATTTACTGATCCGATATTTGATATTTTCCATCCGACTGGAACGCAACTCTTTACAATAACTCGCAATCACAACTCTCAATAACGCTCGCTCTAAGGCTATCTTAATTCGAACTGGAAGAGCAGGCCCTTTTAAGCCCGTCTAGAAGGCAAGGACCTCCCCCGAAGGAGGAGAAAACTCCCTCCACGCAACGCTCTCGAATAGAAGGGATTCCTCATTCGGTTAGGCTCTCCGAAGGGTCACCCACGCTGGGACCCTTCCCGAGAGGTGCCCGCAGACGAGTTACCCCTAGTTTACAATGGGGGAAACCGGGGTTGCGCGAGGCTACCTCACGTGGCCTGGCCCCGACTTCCTGAGACTCGTCTGGCCGCCAGACTCTAACGGGATCTCTATACCTGGCGAGGTGTTCCCTATAGGAACACTTTGGCCATCGTGCCTTAACGGCGTCTAAAAATATCCTACGATAATCGCATACCAAATCGACGATAAACACGTTTGAGAATTTCTGACCGATTTTTATGAAATAACTCGGTGCTTAACGAGATAACCCGGTTTCCTTATGAAAGGCTAATACCGTCGAAGCTTTGAGGAACGCAAAATTCCAAAGTTAACATTCCCGATAATTAACGGAAACATGAAACGAACGAAAATTATTCCACAGACTCGGATTATTCTCGAAGAGTCGTTTCATCCGTTGAGCGGAAACAGCCAGGACACTTACGCGAGTCGAAAGCACGTTCGAAAGCACGTTGTCTGCTCTGTGTATATAAATCATGCGCAAGCAGGTAAACGGTCTCTGCAAACAACGCGGTAATGAAATGTTCCCAGTGTTACCGCGGCGAATAGATGTCTGACAACATCAACTCATTAAGAACAACTCATTACCGTGAAGAGGCCGGTTAGGAACGTTCATCAGCGACGAAACGTTTTCTTGCCTATTCAGTTACCCGGAGCGAAGGAATCTCAAGAACGACGAATGTCTGTCTCGCAGTAACGTCGATTCCGCGACGTTTGTAAACCGACGCCGAGATCTTCCAGGGATTCCGAAGATTTGGAATTACATCGATGCTCGTAGGAGGGATTTCCGTTTACGCGAAATGCGTCGATTATGGAGAAACTAACACGAGTCTCGTCACGGAACTTTCTCGCCCGAGAGTGCAAACAAAAATAAAAATAAGCTTCCGATGCTTCTCAAGTTCGGAGGTATAATGAAACATAATCTGTTGACAGAGCCTAACTCGAGAAGGAATTTTTGTCCAAGTTTATCGAGCAATTAAGCGTTTCACTCGAAAGATACAAATTTACGGGCAAGGGATTTTTATGCATTTCTTTGTACATATAGCGACGATGCCAAGTAGTATATTTAATAATTATTCGTTGTTATTAAATTCATAATTTAGACAATTGAATGTTATTAGATATAACAGTCATTTCGAAGTATTTTCTGATTTACGTTAAACAGACCTACAGACGGATTACGTTTGTGATGACTACTTAACGATGAAAGTTTGGGAAAGTCGTGGATGTGTTCCGTAAATGATCTGCCAAATAGAAAGGATAAGGATAATATGGCAAGGCCCGCAACGCGAGGGTGCCACCCTAAAGAGCAAATAGGTTATATGTAAAGCGATTCGTGGAAAATCTCAGTTTGCATGACCAACTTTTCACGAGTAACCCGTGTGATGTTTTCATCGCGAAATTAAAATTGAGATATTAATTAATTTGAAATATTTTTAATTTGCAGGAAATGCAATCGATTTTCAACTACTCTCGACTTCGAATATTTTCCACGTGTATCGAAAAGGATTTTATCTGATTGATTTAGTTACATTTGATGCAATGCTCTCTTACCCTGCATTTTCTTTTTTTCTTTTTTTTTTTAAGGCCTGCAGTTGATCGATATGCCGGTAAAGAGGACAACAGGGTTTTAAACGAGCTAAACTTTTGAACCTTTCTAGAGCCAGTGGCTCCATAAATCTAGTATTTCGCGATGAATAAAATATTGCCTGGAAGAAAAAGTACCCTCTGTCATTCTGTCAAGCAAATGTACCGAAAAGCGAGCTTTGCTTAAATATATCTAAAGACTAATAATTGGATATGTAAGAAATCGAAATACGATACGCGGGAGAAAGTCTGAACAGTTCTAACGTTTAAAAATACGAATTAATTAATATTTCAATAAAAATTTGATACACGCGACATTTAATCTCTAAATCTAAGACCGAAATAAAGTATTTAAATATTTTCATACCAGTGGAAGATTCTACATAAAAAATAGAACAAAAATTTCATCTTCTAAGAGCTGAACTGTCGTTGAATTAACAAGATCGTTATCGAAGTTGCCGCTCTCTTTCAGACAATTGACATTTCACTTCAGGCAAATGTAGACGAAATGTACATGGACACGTGAAAATCGGATAAATTACAGGTTATTCGTACCTCGAATGCATAATAAAATAACGCAGAGTACCATCGACGAGCACAAAAATGAGGAAAAGAAGATACGTACCGCAACCTTTGGGCAAACGATTTGGAAAATCGGATCTCGACAGGATTGGTAAAGTGTACCTCGTCGACGGATGAAAACGTCCTGTTCCGTACCGATACTTCTGTCTTATATGCCAAGGGTATTTTCACGATCCATCCCCGGCGCCCTTCGACAAGTATGAAGGAATTCCTGTGAAGTTTCGCGAAGGTATTGAAAAGGGACGTCAAATGCTGCCGGGGCCGCCAGCTGATCTATTCGAGGAGAAATTCGTGCGAATTTTCAATGGAGAGGCATTGTACGAGCCATGGCGCATCGAAGCGGAAGAACGGGTAATCATATGACGTAATTAGGTCGAATTATTAATCACCGGTAGTGTGATTTTCCTCGATACGTTCGACGTTCATTATCGTTTTATTATAAACCAATAGCTGCGTTTAAGAGGATAGATATTTTGAAAAATACTTGTCAAGGTAACGATGCTTCGACATTTTTTACATTTTAGGTACATATTTATATTGTTATTATGTATAATGCACATTTAAAGTCCTATGATTTTGATTTTAATATCCCAAGTGAATGGAAGAAATATTTAAAAATTAATACGATTTAAATAGCCCCGTGTAATCGTTTACTATACCATGCGATAATGATTGATAATATATTACCTGGTTCTATAGCTCTGTGAGAAATTTTATAATTCTGTTATACGAAGAACGAACGATATTAAGTGATATACGGAATATTACTTTACAAATTTCGTTATTATTAAAAATGTCAAGTTAAACACGTCGTATCCCCGTGAGACATTTATAAGATGAATCTACCATTAAAGAGTAAAAGTACCATTTTTTTCCTTTTATAAAACTTCTGGCGCGAATAAAGCGACGTCGGAAAGCAGTAAAAGTATACAAATATTTACGAGGTAATACCAGACATTTAAAAGGACAAAGCTTCGTAATAACAGTCGGTTGCTCAATCCTCAATTCAGAACCCAGGAATTAAATCGACAAACGTTATGCAAATCTTCTAAATTCGAGGAAAAGTAAAACTTTGAAGCTACAGTACTCCAAAGGCAACATTTGAACAATGCTTTTCCATACTTTTATATTCAGAACAAGGTACGCTCGAGTGTTATTACTTTTCAAACTGTCGGCTTATTCGTACGTTGGATATATTCTCGAGTTAAAATTCTGAACGAAGCTTGCACAAGATACGAAGCTATATTTGCTCTCGAGCAACAGGATCCTTTATCATAATGCAGCAGTGCTAATCGTACATTAGCCTGTTACTTCCGAGTGTAGAGTTAGCCTCCTGTAAGCTATTTACGCAGCTTATATTCGTAAAATTGTTATTCGTGCATTTTGCGAAAGCAGGTTTTAGAATGATCAAAATCAAAAGTGCGTTATCTTTGCTGTACAGTCGTCATAATACAAATTTGATCTTGCCCTACGATGCAGTATCTACGTTTGCAATTGTAGAATTATTGTCGTCGAGAATTACCAAATTAATTTGATTTTGTTACTAATTTAATTAAATAATTTAATTTGATTAAAGACAAAAATACCAAATATTTATCAAAGGTTTCGCCACATTTGTCTTTCCATTATTTCACTGCACGATCCGTTTGATACGTCGCTTAAATAATTCAAACGCTTGCTCTGCCGTCAAAAACAGCACGGTTAAATGCTTCCTAGGATTTTTTAATCGGAAAATTGATTCCTCGTTGCTGTTACTGGCAAGAATCGGGCCGCAGGAGAGATTACTCGGCTGACGACATAATAAGTTGAAAAAGAGAGAAAATAAAGGGAGAAATAATAAAGGGAGAATGGCGGGGGGACCAAGGAGGAAACGAATAAAGAATGAACCTGATATCGGGGTTAGGGAAGAAAAAATAGTATCTCCGCGTTCGGGATTTTTAAATTACCTATCTTCCGGTGTAGCCAGCCCCCAGATAAAGAGGATGACCTGAAACTCTCGTTAACGCATTAATCTTCCTGGATCCTCGCGATTCTAGTCACTTTTTGCACGACTCTCACGGATTCACGGCATAGAGAATGATTTCCAAGCATGCGCACGCAATCGACTCGACGACTCCTCCGCGCTCGAGCAAACTAATTGCCTCGTAATCGTGTTCGTGGACGACGAGTTGCCTAATTTCTCATCTTTCTTTTTCCATCTTTTTATCGCAACGTCGATCGAGGCAACGTCGATCAGTGGGACACCTTCGGGATGAAACGACGGGATGCCAGGGCATCGACGCGAAATAATTTACCCATCTGCGTCGAACCGCGTTTCGCCGCAATTTCCGCGGCTTTGATTGCGACAGGTGCCGGTACGTTTTAATTAGGCGCGTCGTACGATGCCGTACGGTCGACGTTATTTAAACTATCGTTTTACTGTCCACTGGTAAGGGTGCAAACATTTCTAGCTCTCTTGCGGAACTTTACTACTTTGAGACGTTTAATTGACTGAAATCCTTAAGTGGAGAAAAAGAATGGTAGTCGGGTAAAGTTGAAAGAAAAAATATCGGTATTCCAGATGTAATTAAACGTGAACAAGTTTCGAATAAAATGGCGTTTGCGCTATACGATGTCATAATTATCTTACAGTGTTTCACTCTATTCGAGCAAATAATATATTGTGGTATCGCAGGATGAGCATGTTATCTAGAGTGCGTGCGAAAGGACGAATGACCGTGCGCTAGGATCGTGTGGACGGGATGTTTATGAATGTATCGGATGAAAGTGAAGAGTGTCTTTAGGAATGCGTTTGAGTGTTGGGCTACATGACCCGCTGAGGGTAAGATGGCAAGGAGTGCGTGGGAAAGTGTGATTGGAAAGAGAGAATAGGTATGAAAGAGGATAGAATGTATGGTTTTAAATAGGGATGCAAGGGCGTGAGTAAGTAGTGTGTAGTCTGTCGTAGTACGTGTAGTATATTAGGGTTCGTAGCAGAGAGTTGTGAAAAAAGATGTTGTTAGTTGTATTCGTGTTGTTAGGTATAATTGTGTCGTTGTAGTTGTAAGAGTTTAGTTGATAGATTATATTCGTAGTCTTTACCGTCACCGCACATTCTATATTATATTTTATGGTTAATAAA